GTGGTTTTTTTTTTTTTTTTTTTTTTAAAAAGAAGATAACAAAAGTAAGGTAGTGGTGTTTTGGCTAAGATTTGTAATAGATCTCGCTGGTTTTCACGGTGGTTATAAAATGAAGAAGGAAAATAGTGAGAGAGAGTTGAGATAGTCAGTGGTGTTGGCTTTGTGAATTTTCGGGCGAGTTTCACCGGGTCTGCTTGCTTATTTGGTGGAATGGGGTTGCTATTTGGATGATGGAACACGAAGAATAAGAAGAAGAGAAGAAGGGAAACGAAGAGAGGGGCTAGTACAATGGATGTTAGTACTATCAGAGGAATTTTTCGGTGGGCTGCCATGTTTTTCGGTGGTTTTGGTGTGAGTTGAGAGAAGATAAGAGGGAAGAAATGTGAGGGAGCGAGGGGTCGTGTCTGGTGGGGTTATTTGAGGGGAGGGAGTTTAGGGTCGGATAAAAGAGTTATCGGGTATTTTAAATTGAGGATGGGTCAATTGAACCCCAGAGTGACATGTGGCTAGCCGTCTAAATTAGGGGTAGATCTGAACCAAAAGTATAACGGTAGGGATATAAGTGACCAAATAGTATAACGAAAGATATTTTTAAACAATATTTGATAGTGCAACTGACAACTTTGCCCTTTTCCGTTTTATCTTTACCCATTCAGTTTCTTATAAGTTATAAACCAATGGAAAACACAAGGCCTTAAAAAAAAAATAAAGTTAAGGAAGCACATTCGTTAAAGGCAAAACCCTAGCCTCCGAATCCCTCTGTATATAAAGAAGCACTACTGTCTTTAAAAGATCAAACCCTAGCACCACTCAACTTTGATTGAGCCGCTACCTTATCCCTCCCTGTTCATTACATATAGGATCCCATCTATCCCTATTTGAATTTATTATATTGCACTTGCTTGAATTTTTCAACTTTTGAATTCTATTGAATGTTCCTAAATGATGATGACTTGAAGTAAAGCTATGGATTTACATCCAAATGAAGCTTTTTTTGTCATAGTTACTCTGATAGGAGTTATTTCTTCTGTTACTGACTGTTAGATCTAGGTTATTTCTTCTGTTTCTTCTGTTCTGCAGTAATTCGTTTGTTAGCCGAAACAAGGGCAACTTTGCCGAGGTGATCTCTTCTGTAGATCCCCCTCTTTTTCCCTGTTGCCAATACTATAATTGGACAAGCTGGAGCAGCTTAGCTTGATGTAGTTTTGCATCAGCTGATTCCAGCATGCCTACATCTATAAACTAAAATTATCATTGTTGGATGAATAAAGATTTCATGTTTTATACTCTTTTAGGTCTAGTCTTATCCCCAGATTCTACTACATTTTGGTTTGTTGTTGTTATTATGTCTAGTGTTATGCTAGTAAAATAGGGCAACTTTGCCGAGGTGATCTGTTTATTGTTGATTTCCTCTTTTTCCCTGTTGCCAATACTCAAATTAGACAAGCTTGGGTTTTGTTTTGGTTGTTTAATACTTGTGGTTTGACATCAGCCACTCGGAGCTTGGCTACATTCAAATGAATTAGCTTCTTTTTTATTCTTGTTTTTTTCCTTGTCCCTTAGGTGCATGCATCTGATTATTTGCTATGTGATGAAGATATTTATGTCTATGGATTACCATCCAATTAAGCTTAATTGTCATAGTTACACTGATAGCGAGTCAAATTTTACTTTTCTTTGCTATGTTTTTTGGTTTGCTTGTCTAGTGTTGTTGAGAACAAAATATCAAAAAAAATTCTCTTTATTGAAAAATTAGTCTTATAAGATGTCTACATAGAAGTCCGAAACTCAGAATCAATAGAAAATATTCCAAATGAAAATTAGTTTTTTAATATGAAATTATGGACCGCTTGTTAATTCCTTTAAGAGCTTGTTTGGATTAGCTGATTTTTAAAATAATCATTTACGTGTTTAGATAGAAGTGCTGAAATTGATAATAAGCAGTTGATGTGTTTGATTAAAAAGTGCTGATATGGAATAATGAGAAAGTCAAGAAATTTATTTTGGAAAAAATATTTTGTGAATTAGAAAATATTATTAAGGATAAATTAGTAAAAATGTTGGTCAAACTAAAAGTGCTTATAAGCTGGAAAGTTATAAGTTGGGGGTCTTATGGCTTATCGCTGATTTTAGTTTATAAGCACTTGCTTATAAACACTTACTAAATGCGTAGATAAGTCAAAAGGTTCACCCACTTATAAGCTTAGCCAAACACCCTCTAAATGTTCACCCACCATTCATAACCGAAGCAATTCAGAACAGATGCTTATGACTTCAAAGTTGTAAAAGGTTATTCTAAGTTTACCCAAACTCTAATTGTCATATACTTTATTATTTATGGAGAATTACACATAAGTAATTGCAACTGAGTAGCCTATTTGTAACTTTGCATCTATAGCCCAAAGACATAGGGCCAAATCCGAAAAAACCCAGTATTTTTTCACACTATCAGCATTTTTTTATGGTCAATGCTATTCAACATTCCAATTATTGAGGAGAGATTATGTACTTATCTCTTGCCAAAATCAGTGTTTTACTATTAACTTTATGAGACAATTTATAAAAATATATTTAAATATAAAAAGAGGGTGTTTTACTATTAACTTTATGAGACAATTTATAAAAATATATTTAAATATAAAAAGAGAGTGTTTTACTATTAACTTTATGAGACAATTTATAAAAATATATTTAAATATAAAAAGAGAGAATAAAAGGACTGGTAGCATTTTTCCCTGTTGTCAGTTGTAGAGAATTTGCTGGATTTTAATTAAATAGTACTAACATATTTTATATGAATATAAAAGTAGAACTCCGTTAACAATTAGTAAAATATACATTCATTTATAAACAAATAAATTAAATTAAATTTCGCAGCTTTTTTGCTTTGTCAATGGTAGAACATATGATAATTCCTTCTCATAAGTTCTTTTTTAAATCTCTTTTGAAATTTGACTTAAATCTTGCTCAGATCTGTTCCAAATTTGAAGTGAGATATGGACTGTGGAGGAGCTAAGTCTTTAATATTGGGCTAAATGATGAAAAGATTCTTTCAGGTTATGTACAACCTGGACCAAACAGGGTAAGAGCTTCAAACCTGGGCCATTTTCAGTTAGGCTGTTGGATCAAGTGACAACGGACACAATTCTTCCTATCATCTTGCATACATAAAGACCCCATTAAACTTGTCCAAAAAATAGGTTTGAATACTTTAACTAAACGGGTGTTCTTTTACCCCCCCTAAACATACTGCAAGTGAATTTTGTTCTACCCTCTATGACCCCAGACCAGTTAAAGATTAACGAGTGTGAGCCATGCTCTTTCTGGTGATGCCACATCATTAATGAACTCAAACCCTTTTAATGATCCGGTCCATTACTTAAAATACCCGACCCGCTATCTTTTGTTTTTTACCCTAGTCTGAATTACACGACCTCATTTCTCTCTAAACAAAACGAAAAGAGGGTTTATGAAGTCAACCTAGTATCGATTTCCCCCCAAATCTTGTCGATTAGAGTGTAGATACTGAAGATCGTTGGCTTCTCTTGTAGGTTCTTCTTGTTTTCTTCAATCTCTTGTCGATTTTTAAGTGTAAAGAAATATTTACAGACGTTTTTCTTGTTTACTGATTTCAGTTTGAAGAAATGGCTTTTGAGCTCCTTACACTGAGGATGTTCCATGGAGGTAAATTACAACAGTATCCTATCAACTACAAAGGAGGTATTATGACAGAGTACTTTGATATTGATGTTGACAGATTTTCATATTTTGAGTTTGTAGACTATGTGAAAGAAAATGGGTATAATTGTGAAACATGTGATATTTATGTGAGACCACCTATGTCTAGCACTTTGGTAAAAGATTTAGCTGATAGGGATATTATGGGTATTGTGCATCTATTAAAAAATGGGGATATATTTGAAGTGTGTGTGTCCTACTTTGTTGATGAAGCATTAGTGGTCCCTCCAGCTATTGAATATGTAAGCCATGTGTGTGGGGAATCTAGTGTGTTTTTTGATAAAGGGATAAATTAAAGTGTTGAGGGCAGTGAAGGTGTAGGGTTTGAAGAACCACAAAAGAGTGTCCCTGTTACTGATGATGTGTCTAGTGGTTATGAGGGTGGTCCTTCTAATCTTGATGATACTCCATTAGTTGAAACTGATGTAGAAAGCAGTGACCATAGTACAGATTCAGAAATTGAAGAGCTGTTTGAGGAAGGGGAAGAAGAATATGGTAGTGATGTTGATGAAGAGTATAGGAATTTAAGAGAAGAGAGGAAAAAGGTGCATAAAAGGAAGAGAAAAGAGAAATAGGTTCAAACTAGACATGCCAAGTTAGGTAAAAAGGGTCTAGATGTAGGATATGATGAGTATGCAGTTAGGAAGAAGACATCTTTAGAGGGTAAGATTGCTGGAGATGAGCCGTATTATCCCTCAGATGAAGCTGCTAGTTTTGAAACAAATCCTGATGAAACTGCTTATGATGAAGGTGAAGATGAAGTCCAATAGCCAGTAAGAGCAAGAAGAAAGCAGCAAAATAGGGTTATCTTTGATCCTAGTTGTAAGTTAATTGTTTGGGAAACTAGACTTTCTTTTGAGAGTGTTAGACAGTTTAGAGAAGCACTTACTAAGTATGCAGTTGATGAACATGTAGAGTTAGATAAGTATGTTAATGAACGAACAAGGGTGAGAGTAAAGTGTTGTGCTGGCTGTCCATGTCTCTTGTTTGCTAGTTATGATTCTAGGACAAAAGCTTTTGTTGTGACGAACTATAATCCACTTCACAAGTGCAATGGTACTACCAAGAATAAACTGTGCAACTCAAAGTACTTAGTAGAAAGATATAAGGATAGAATAATTTATGAACCAACTATTAGAATCTTTAAGTTTCAGGAGTTAGTTCAAAAGGAGTTAGAAGTGTATATTGGAAGGACTGTTGCAAGGAAAACCAAGAATATTGTATTAACACAGATTATGGGAGACCATATTAAGGAGTTTGGCAGAATTCTGGACTATAGAGATAAGCTGCTAAGGACTAATCCAGACAGCACATGTGTTGTGAGACTTAGTGAAGAAACACATGAAGATGGAAGGAAAATGTTTGTAGCATTTTATATCTGCTTTGATGTATTGAAAAAGGCCTTCCTTGATGGTTGTAGGAGGTGTATTGGGTTTGATGGTTATTTTTTGAAAGGTGTATGTAAAGGGCAATTACTTGTGGCTGTTTGTAAGGATGGGAATAATCAGATGTTGCCATTGGCTTGGTCAGTAGTTAAAGTTGAAAACACATTTAATTGGAGATGGTTTGTGAACCTTTTAAAGAATGATCTTGAGCTTGGAGATGGGACAGAGTTGACTGTTATTACAGACATGCAGAAAGTAACTTATATTCTGTTAAATGTGTTGTTCAAATCTGTTAATCTTTTTATTCTTTTAACTGTTTATCTTTTATATGTTATAGGGACTTGACAAAGCAATCAGTGAGATCCTCCCACAAGTTGAACATAGGATGTGTGCCAGGTACATCCTAGTACACTGGTCAAAAAAATGGAGAGGCACTTAGAGAAGGAACTATTTTTGGAGATGTGCTAGGTCAACTTATGAACAAGAGTTAAAGAAAAATCTTGATCACATAGAAAAACTAGGAGATAAAATATTTGAGGACATGCTATACTATAACAAAGAGAGGTGGTGTAAGGTATATTTTAAGTATTTCAGCAATTGTGACAGTGTTGACAACAATATGGCTGAAACTTTCAATTCTTGGATATTGGGGCCAAGACATAAGACAATCATCACAATGCTTGAAGAGATCAGGGCGAAGATGATGATAAGAATAGCACAAATGAGGGATTTATGAGATACTTGGATCAGTGACATTTCTCCAATGTCACTGAAGGTGTTGCAGGAGAACACATCAAAATCAATGAAAAGTGTGGTGCACAAGAATGGTCAATATGGTTATGAAGTGAAGGAAGGACACACCAATAAACATATAGTGAATCTGAATAGATTAACCTGCACTTGTAGAGCTTGGATGCTGAAGGTTATACCATATGCTCATGGTGTAGCTGCTATCTATTTCAGGAAATTGGAGCCCGTTAACTACATTGCACGTTGGTACCATAGGGAGACTTATATGAAGACCTACAGTCACTTCCTTGAGCCTGTATAAAATATGGAGATGTGGTCGCAATCACAAAACCCTTCAGTTATACCACCAGAAGTTAGAGTAGTGTCTGGCAGGCCCAAGAAAGTGAGAAGGAAGGAACCAACTGAAAACATAACAGGAAAGCTTTCCAAAAGAGGTACTCAGATGACCTGCAACAACTATCATGCTAAAGGCCATAACAAGAAAGGTTGTCACAAGGCTACACAAGGTACTGCAAGATCAACTGGTGGTGCAAAGTCATCAAGTGTTGGTTCTTCATCAACACCTTTAGTTCAAAGTGTACCAAAAACAGGAACATGAACAGGAAGAGGAAAACCAAGAGGTTCAACAAAACAGGTAATTACTCTGAAGTTACTTCTATAGACTGCACTTTTGTAGGTCTATTTTATGTTTAACCTTTTAATTATTTACACTTTTTATAGGACATTGCTACTGGTATAGGAAGAGAGACACCCTATAAAAGTCCAAGAATGGTTGGCATGCGAATTCTACAAACAGAAAGTGGAGCTTCCATCTATAATGTAAGCATGTGTAACGACCCGACCGGTCATTTTGAGTATTATAACCCCATTCCCCCATTTACTGCTCAATTTATGCTTTACAGTTATTTTATGACTTACCGGGTTAGTTAGTTCGGGTCCAGAAGGATTTCGGAGTGAAATGAGACACTTAGTCTTATAATTAAAAACTTAAGTTGGAAAAGTTAACCGAATATTGACTTATATGTAAACGACCTCGGATTTAAATTCTGATGATTCTAATAGCTCCGTATGGTGATTTTGGACTTAGGAGCGCATCCAAAAAATTATTTGGAGGTCCGTAGAGGAATTAGGCTTGAAATGACGAAAGTCGAATTTTTGAAAAGTTTGACCGGGGGGTTGACTTTTTGATATCGGGGTTGAAATATGATTTTGGAAATTGGAATAGGTCTGTTATGTCATTTATGAATTGTGTGCAAAATTTAAGGTCAATCGGATGTGATTTGATAGGTTCCGGCGTCGATTGTATAAATTGGAAGTTTCAAAGCTCATTAGGCTTGAATCTATGTGATTCATGTTTTTTGTGTTATTTTATGTGATTTAAGGCCTCGAGTAGGTTTGTGTTATATATTGGGACTGATTGGTACGATTGTACGGGGTCTCGGGGGCCTCAGGTTTGATTCGGGGTGGTTCCGGACCAAGTTTGGGTGTTTTGATGGTGCTGGTTGCTGGTTTTGGTATTGTTCTTCGCGTTCGCGAGGAGCCTCTCACGTTCATAAAGAAGAATTTTGTTGTTGGGACTTTGTTCTTCACGTTCGCGAAGAGTCTCCCGCGTTTGCGAAGATGGAATTTTTATTGTCCGTCGTCTGAATTTGGAGGCTCATATCTCGCAATCTATAAGGAATTTGGAGTTGATCCAAAATTGAAAGTTGTATCCCTTTGTGTCTAGTTTTCAAAAAAGGTAAACCATTTGTTATTTGGAGTTGTGTACAAAAGGTTATGGTGGATATACTACAGGCTATCTGGGAAGAGTTTGAAAATCTCTGTTGCACAGGGCTGACTTGGAAGCGTATATATCGCAATCTATAAGGAATTGAGAGATGAATAACAAATGAAAGTTATATTCCTTGGTGTCTAGTTTTCAGAAAGTTAAATCATTCATCATTTGGAGTTTTGTACAAAAGATTATGACCATTATACTAGAGGCTATCTGAGAAGGGTTCTAAAATGGCTGTTGGAGAATTTGTTCATCGCGAATGCAAGGGGAGGGTCGCGAACACGAAGAACAAACCCCTGGGCAGTAGAATAAAGTCCAAATTCGTCTCATTCTTCCATTTTTGGACCAAGGAAGCTCGGGTGAGTTGATTTTTTGAGAGTTTTTTAAGGAAAACATTGGGGTAAGAATTGCTAACCTGATTTTGGTTAAATTACATGAATCTATTGTTGTTTTTATCACTAAATTAGTGAATTGACTTGAAAAATTTAGAAAACCCTCTTGGTTTAATTTGAAGATTTGAGGGTCGAGTTGAGGTCAGATTTTGGAAAAATTGGTATTGTTAGACTCGTAGTTGAATGGGCTTTCAGATTTTATAACTTTTGTCGGGTTCCGAGACGTGGGCCCCACATGCGATTGTTTGGAGCTAAATTTCGGATTTTGTTGGAAAATTTGTATTTTCTTATGAAATTAATTCCAGTAATTTTTATTGACTGAATCAAATTATTTGTGACTAGATACGAGGCTTTCAGAGACAAATTCTCGAGGCAAGGGTATAACAGAGTGAGAAATTACACGGGTTGAGGTAAGTAACACTTCTAAAATTAGTTCTGAGGGTATGAATCCCCGAATTGGTGTTATATAAATTGTGTGGAAGTGACACACACGATAGTTGACGAGCGTGTGGACATGCACCATATAAATTGACTTGAATAAATCCTGTGA